AAACTTTCTTACATCAAATCTAACTGCCACTGGAACTCATTATTTTTCCACTGGGATTTCACCCCCTGTAGCAGTGCCCTCATTTAGCTGTGTGTTAAGAAAGCAGCATTAAGTGCAATGATTATTTTTGCGTCGCTGCATAAATTGGAAGGGAACCTGGTCTTGTCTCACAGAGACTTGTAGGTCTCATCTGTGTTACAATGCTGTTCTTCAAAGGTGAATGTGCAAAATATAGTCTGTTCTTATAGTCTAATTTATTTATGATTTGCATGATCTGTGTCTTGCCTAATAGAGAGTAGAATAAAGCAAACTTAATTGAGAGCTGATTATAAGTACTGTGAACAGAAGGCTTTGTTCTCGAGAGCAAGCACTGGAGCGTGTTAGCAGTGTGCTTTCCAGATGAACTCCTTTCCTGCCTTATTTTGTGACTAGAATGAAGAAACTAAGGAATGGAGACCAAAGGCTTTCTTTTTGCATAAAAGAAGTGCCCTGTGCCAGCTGAAAATGTATTTACAGAACTTTAAGCTTCCTGGGAGAAGCTGGCCACACCACTGGCTTCCCAATTGTCCTGTGGTTGTGTCTCTTCATTGCTTCATGATATGTCGTGTCATCGGTCTCTGACTTTGTACTGCACATCGTAGGACTTTATTTTCTGACAAGCCACATGCAAATAGGGAATAAATGAGGCAACTGCAAATAAGTAAATTGAAGCAACTCTGCTTTGTGACTTGCAGTCCTCTATAATCGGGATTGTGCCTGATAAGGTGATTAACCTTTACAAACCATAATACAGGTTATTACAGCTGCTTTTGTATGTGGAAGTAAATAGAGACATAAAGATGTGAAGTCACTGGCCGAGCCGCGTAATGAATCAATAGCTAAGCTGAAGCCAGGAATCTGTTTCCAGGCTTTCAGGCGAGCACAGGACTTTCTGCCTTGTCGGGTATTAAAGAATTTTAGCAACATTCAGTGACCTGCACCGAAACACGTTTCTTCATGTTCTTCCCCTTCCGCTTCCTTTAATTATTTGTTTTTATTCCATATTGTTGTAAATGCATGTGATTGTGATACTAGAGTGGCGTTTACCCAAACACATGGGACTGGTTGTGAGCAGAGGTGGGAGAAACCGGAGGTTGTTTTGCTTAGTGCAGATTGGTCTTGAGCTCTGGAGCTCAGGGGAGGCTTTAACTTCTGGTGCTTTGTCTCCAGGATCTTCGCGTAGGGCCAGATATGTTTCCTTATGAAATACCAACATGGAGAGTCTTCAACCCTGCGTCTCTGGAATTTGAAGCCTACAGAGATGATATGACACAGCCCAGTCACACCACGAGTCAGTGGGAAATGCAAAAACATAACCTGTCTTTTCTAATTCAGCTTTTAGGCACCGACAAAATCAAACGTTGCAGGTGGGAAAATGCGTACGGGTAGCAGAGACAGGGAAATCCCGTCACAGCCATTTGGCCGTGTCTTCCCTGGCATTAATCCACCTGCCAGAGCTTGGACCAAGCCAGGTCTAGGTTGAAAAGGGATGCTACTAGAACACCTCCTCAAGTCATCCATGAGAAACCTGGAGAATTAGTCACCTGTCTGCTGCTGTGAGCTCATCTGCTCTGCTTGCAAGCATTAGTCACTTGTTTTTTCTAAAGTATTATATTAAATAGAGAAAAAAACAAGGTAGATCAAACTTGCTCATATACAATATGCTTATATGCATATACACGGTAAATAAGTGTGCAGTATAATGAAAACTCTTTCACTGACATCCCAGTTCCTTACTTAGTCTTCTCTAGTATATTAGCAAATGCAGTTGCTTTACCACTTTCTGTTTTTTCACCTCTTAGCTTAGAGCATCTGCAGCACTGGGAACCTGCTATCCAAGAGATGCCTGTATAAGTTCTTGTGTTGCAAGAAATGTTTAAACAGCCTTCTCCACTTAGAAATATTTTTCTGATGGGTGTTTTTGGCTGCTTTTACCACATTAAAAATGAAATTTTTGTCTCTATGATGTTGCTTTTTCTTTTTTTCTTAACAGTCCTTGTTCTAACCAGTCTTTTTCTTAAAAGTCTTAAACATGCAATATAAAAATGATTGAAACAGTGGTAAACTATGAGAATGCAATGAAACTACCTTAATTCAGCTTCCAGTAGGATGATGAGCTAGAGTGAAGATAAAAGTAACTAACTCCAGCAAATGATGCCCACTGGGGATGGAGCCCTGCCTTTCCCTCATTCCACCATCCCTTCCTCCTGCTGCCTGTCCTGTGCAGACTCAGGCCTCCTCCATGAGCCTGTGCATTAGCTTTGCAGAAAACTAATGGGGAAAAAAAATCTGGTCTTATATTTTTCTGCAAGGTTAGTGAGGTGAACTGGCTTATAGAGGTGTCTGATGAAAGTAGGGGCTAGGGTGGAGCCTGAACCACATGGATAAAATGGGAATTGCACTGCTAGGACAGGAGAGGTAGAAAGAAGAAAAAAGGAAACAGAGTTTGAAAGGGGGAAAAAGCCCTGCCTGTTCAGTGGAGGGAATATATTCCATCAGTTCAGCTGACTGGAACTGCTCTTTCTGTGTTCAGCCGTAATTATTTCTGCTTCCACTCCCCCATCCTTTAGTCAGGCTCTTCTCATTAGGAAGCCCTTCACCGCAGGGATTGTGCATAATCTTACGAGCGGACTCTGAGGTACTGTGGGAACATTAACAATGATATAGAAACAGTAATTCTAGTGGGTCCAGCTCAACTCCTGGTAACCGTTCTGTTGGTTCCTCCATTTAAATGATAGTGGGTTTTTCCAGTGTGTATCATAGAAGTGATAGCCTCTCTCATTTAAAGAAAATAAGACTTAGTTGTTAGAGGTAACTTTTACCTTGCATAATGAGTAGAGAGCTTCCTGACTTGTGAAGCAGAAACTGGGTGAAAAAAAATGAGCAAATTGGAGCAATGGTTGTTCCATGTAATTCAAACGTGCAGAAGCAAGACACAGGTAGTTTAGAGGTAGAGGCACAGCCCCTTGTGTCTATGAAGTTGTAATCTTCACCTGCTCCCCAGCTTTGGGCTAATTGGATGGTTTGGTGTTTTTGTTTTTGTTTTTGTTTTTTCCTCTAGTTCTTTGACATGCTTTTGAAAATTAAATATTAATGACTTGCCCCAACAGTCAGTGCCATAGTACAGCCTGGTGGGCTGTGTGCCTTCAAGATTAGCCCTTCCAATAAATCACACAACCATTTTTTTTGGCTGGGAAGTATGTGTTGGTGCTGCTGCACGTGGCAGAGGAGGTATAGTGTAAGGACAGGGAGTGACCTAAACCCTAAATGTTGGAAAAGACCTGTGGCATCCTTCCTGGTGCAGGGTTAGCAGGGGCTGAGTTGTGGCAGCTGAGGTGACGTCTGGCTCAGAGGGTAAGAGCTGCCAACAGCCAAGGGCCATGTAGGACCTTGGGGAAACACAGCCCAGCCAGTTCTGCTTTGGCATAGAGACAGCCATGAGCCAAAACTGAAGTTATTTCCCTTAGCAAATAGGTGTTGCTGAAGAATAAAATTAGAACACAAAAACTCTTTTTGAAGGACATCATAGTTATGAAGAAGAGATTTATTTTTATGGAAGAATTATTCAAGGATCATGAAACAGAAAATAAGCCAGCTTGAGGATGTTGGAAGACATTACATCAAAAACATCAGTATTAACATAGCCAGTTGTGGAAAATACAAAATTCGATGAGGTGCTCAATTTTCAGTCATATCAGTAGGGTCATTAGAGCAATTAGAAAACAGCAGAATTTAGGGTATTAAAATTTAAGAGGAAACACATTTTGTCTTTTTTTTCTGAAGTACGAACCATTTGTAAACCCCTCAGTGTCTTCCATAGCATGGAGCTGTGCACACATTACTAAAGAGAAGCAGTGTGCTCGTGTTTAAATTTAACACTGGCAAGGAGGCAAGCCAGACTACTGCAGCACAGCTAGGCAGTGGCTGCAAAGTGGTTGCATGCATGTTTTATGCAGTGGTCCTCTCCTTTCAGTAATCTATCAAATGTTAGCACAGCCAGTGACGTGTCAGGATCCCATGCAACTGGTATGCAGCTCTTCATCACCACTGACAAAAAGTGACTGCACTGCTACAACAGGATCAGGCAGTACTTCCCACAACTGTCAACACAACTAAAATCCATGGGAATGCAAGCTGGGCTGTCCCTGGGAACCTCATTTTGAGAGACCCTCAGGTTTAATTCAGTCAGTGTGTCTCAAGTGATATAGACTCTACTTGCATATTTTTTTGGACTGAGAGGGTTCAATATATAAACTTTTGGGGAAAAAAAGCATAAAATCTTACTCTATATAAATAGCTATCTATAAAATTTGCTTTATCCATAGAATACAAGGATCCAGATTCTTCATTTTCTTTGAACATAAAGTGAGAATGCCCTGCATATAAACATTGTGTCTCTACACACATAGTGGTAGACTCTTGGTAGATCATCGCTGACATTAACAAAGCCGCACCAATTTACATCAGCTGGGAATATGGTCCATAGGACCTAAGTTACACTGGAAGCTAATAATGATTTCTCTCTCAAGCATTGTTTTGTGAATTCAGCCATTAAAACATGGGAAGCAATTAACATCTCAATATTACATATTGAAATTTAAAATATTCTAAAAATAGCATGTTAAGCATATAGTTTTAAACTTAATAGGATTGGCATTTGCTTCTATGGTGGCTAAGCCATTCAGATTCTGTGTAATACGGGTAAATCCACAGCGCTCACTGAGTTTGTGTGCCTATATCAAGCCTGCCATCAGCACCAAGGCATTTGTGTATCACTTGTCCGTTCTGTCACATCTAGATTTCAAGCCACATGGTGCAGGTCTCGTGTGTCTGAAAAGGTATTTTAAACTCCTACTGAAGCTAATAGGAATCCAGGCAGTTTGTGGAAGGCAGGACTATGCTTCAAACAGATCCTAGCACTCAGACTATTGCACCGTTCATCTCAAAAGCAAGCCGGACACAATTCAAACGGAATGAGGAAACTTTCCCTCTTCATGTTCTTATTCTTTCACTTGGCACTGAGTGTTTTTGAGAATAAAGCCCATTTTCTTGTCTGCAGGCAGCTCCATTCATATGGCTGATGCTTTCATTTGCACCCTCCAGTTGAGGCCTCCCTTCAGTCATCTGAAACAGAAATGAAGTGTCGGTGAGGGAACATGCATGTCTTCCAACAGGCAGCCATGGGACTTGGTTCCCATTAGGCAGCTCTGCCTGACCCTCCTCTTTTAGTGGCATGATTTCTAAGCTTTGAAAAAAATTGAACCAAATGTGTACAAACGTCTGGAAGAGGAGGCTTGCACCCCAAATCTAATTATAATCTAGATAGCCAGTAATCCACAGGGTCTCTGCCTTAATTACTACATGCCTGGATGGCTGAGCAGTCTTCCCACCATTCCCAGTGTCACTGGAAAACTCACCAAGGGACAGTTCAGCGAGCTTTCCTATAACACAGTTGGTGATGTGTGTTTTTAAAGGTTTGAGAAATTATATATGATTTATCCATAGCTGAGGGTGCAACCCAAGAAGTCCTAATTTGGATGCATGTCAGCCATTCATACTCAAAGAGCTATGGTGGAAACAAAATCCTTGGAACTCTCCAAAACCTTGGACACCTTCCAGGCTGAAGGCTTGCTTAGAAAGCCAAATATCCATCAGTAGCACACCATACCTAGAACCAGTAAAATTGTTGACTGCTGAGCTCACAATTTTGTGCAGCCCAAAGTCTGGTTTGCACACAAGGCAGGTAAGGTGAAGGGCTCGTCTATAACATGTTTCTCATTGGAGGGCTGTATTATTCTGCTCTTTTTAGATTTGCCCCAGTAACACAATCTTCTCGGGTTTCTAGTAGCAGGTTATGTTCTGCGCTCAGTTTCAAGGCACAGAACCCCTCACACCAACAAAAGTGAAGGAGTGCTCTACCAAAGTAATTTATACTTGCTTTGCCAAACATCTATCTGAAAAAGAGTTAAAAAAAAATTCAAAACATACTTTTCTTTTACACTGTGTATTTGTAGATGCATTATTTTCTGTCTTCATTCCAGTTGCCTCTTCTATTTCTGAAAAAAAGTAATAAAATTATTACATTAAAAAGAACCAAGAGTAAGTAAGCGTACAGTCAATTTAACAGCTGGATGAAGTGAAAAATACCTAATCAGCTGTTCCTCTGGGCATTTATCACACAGATGAATAACTGAAGAACGATGAATACTTCCCAAAATTTTTTCTGAGGCAATGTGATTAATGTATCAGGACTGTGTAGCTTGGGGGTGTTTATAGAAAAGAACAACCCTAGCAGCTTGACTGTAGCATGGGGGTTCGGACAGACCTTTCAGAGCTGAATTCTGCCTTTGCCCAGCAGGTTTGTGCTAGTCTAACTCCAGTTGTTACAATCTCAGGAGACGGGAGCATTCAGTGTAGAATGGGCGTGGAGACTCCTTACACTAATAGTATACTTGACGTTATTTTCCCCTGGATTGGTCCCCAGGTAGAAGATAAATAGAGCCTGAAAACCTTCAGGCTAAATTGCAGTTAGACAATCATGTTCCAGTACATCAGTTAAAAAAAAAGATAGAGCCCATTATGGGAAGTTTCACCAGTGTTTCAGCAGTGTCTTTCAGGCCTCTGCTGAATTCATGTATTTGCTCCTTAACATATAGCATATGTGACCAGAAAGCAGTAGTAACACTGAGTCTGTGAGAGAAAGGATCAAGAGCAGGATTTTGCGTAAAAGTTTGTCTGACGTACATATGGGGCTTCTTATTTATATATAGTAATTGGCATTAAGAACAGCAGTTTGGACAAGCAGTACGAAATGTAATTGATTACTTTCTCTTATGTGTAATGGCTTAGATGATGGTGGCTGGTGTTTCCAGTGGGTCATCTGGAAATGAACAGAGGATCCCTTTGAGCACTAAAGCATACGTACCTGTGAGAAGTGCATCAATTGTCTCCACTACGTGTTTTGCATCTTCCATCGTGAAACACATTGGCGGTTTAAATTTCAGTATATTTCTGTGGGGTCCATCTGCACTGAGAAGGATTTGACGTTCCTTCAGCCTGTGGAAAGAGGGAACATCTGTGTTAGACACAGGTATAAAACTATATTGTGTCCTGTCAGACCCTTCAAGCTGAGTTCGATTTTGAAACTTTTCTTTTTCTAGTGCTGAAATTAATTATTTACTGCTGGGGAATATTAGGAGGGTTTGATCACTGCACATAAGTCTTTAAAAACACTTACTTGTAAATCAGGTGAAGGGCTTCAGCCGTGGCTGGTGTTCGCATTTGTTGATCTTTCACCAGATCCACTCCAACAAACAAGCCAACACCCCTGGAGTAGAGAAAAAAACACAGGCAAATGAAATCCAGTGTCAGCAACCCAAGCTTTCTGCTGCAGGTGCAAAAATCTGTTTCTAACAACTGCGATTCCCTTCCCTGGGGTGCAAGCGGGGAAGGAGCAGGAAAGAGAGGAGAATTTCTCTTTGGTCATCTTTCGGCACTGGCTGCTTCAGAAGATCAAGTGGGATAACAGATAATTCTAGATAAATAAATCTAGTCTCATTAAGGCTACATGGACAGTTAAATTATTTAATAAATTCTAAATTAATGGCATTATAATCTAAATAATTTAATAAATTATAATATTTAGAAATCTGAATAATAGAATAATTTTCTTTCTTGCTTATCCTGCAAACCTCAAGCCAGGGAGCTGTGGAAAACAAAAACAAGAAGTAAAAAACCTCCACAACCCAAACCCTCCACAAAAACCTGAAGGCAATTATCATGACAGTAACATGAGATGAGGAAAACCCACACTAACATCTCCAAATGCAATGGACCAGAGATTAGAAACAAACAACCAGGCTCTTGCACAGGGATGGCTTTCTCCTATTCTCTCCCAGAGCTTTTCTCCAGGCTACGGTTATACCTAACTAAGCAGATGGATGGAAAACTTTTTTGAAAAACATGTCACCTTACAGTATCTGTTTGGGTAGTCCATTTAATAAAGAGGAGTAGCAGTTATTTTTCTTCTCTGAAACATTGCTGTAAGGCACCCACCTGATATCTCCCACTAAAGGATGTTTTTCCTTTTGCTCGGCTAGCAGATCCAGGAGATAATTTCCTACACGCGTAGCATTTCCTTGGAGATCTTCTTTTTCAATTACGTCCAGCACAGCCAGACCAATAGCACAAGACACTGGATTTCCTCCAAACTGATAGCAAAGACAAATACAAAACCAAAATCCATCAGAAACATTCATCTGTGTCTATCCACATAGTTTTCCCTTGCCCTCCCCTACTTGGCGTGTCGTGAGGAAAGCTTGAAGCGGTGGGGATCCTGCACCGTGCCTGCTGGGGAGCACCATTCCCCACACTTTGGGCAGTGTAAGAGGCCAAAGGAGGGGCTCCCTCCTCCTCCGCTTTGGGTTTCAGCAAGTTGAAGATTTCGCAGCTGAAGCATTCAAGCTACTCTCGTGGTTTGCTGATTGCACATGCAGGCAAAATGCTCCTGAGGAGAGCAGTGGGTGATAGAGCTGACATTTCTTGTACCAGAGGGTATAAACTCCATTGAAAGCAGGAGGATTCATGGTAGCTGGGAAGAAGGCTCAGCCACAGGAGCAGAAAGAGGACTCGGGAAGCAAGAAGAAAGCTGCTCCTCTGTGGCATGCACACAGCTCAAATATTTCCCAGTAAAGGGTTACTGGTTTGTTAGGTGACAATTACAGAACAAGGTCCGCCAGAGCATGAGTCCCACCAGCACAGAGCTATCCTAGAGAATTAAATTTTACATGGTCAACATTTCAGAGGCAAGGGCAGGGGACAAGTAAGGAATTTATCTGTATGGATGTGAACTGAGATGCATGACTTGCCAGAGAGCTAGTGCTGGTCCATATTAAGATATACCACTTGGCACAGAGCATATTTCAAAGCCTCTTCACTTGCTTTTAGAGATTAGACTGTGGTTGACTTGAGTAATGTGATGCAGTGATGGATGCAGATGTTAGCTGAATCACCCGAACAACTCGTAACTGCTAAACACAGATCAACAGAAAAAAAGACAAGCCTTCACCTACAAACTTACTGTATTGAAATACTCCAGTCCGGAGGCACCAAAACTTTCAGCGATCTCCCTTGTTGTGACAACACAAGACATAGGGTGGCCATTGCCAATGGGCTTTCCCATGGTGACAATGTCAGGCACAAAGTCTTCACCTTGCAGCTGGAATGCCCAAAAATGCTTCCCAACTCTGCCAAAGCCAACCTGGACCTCATCAGCTATGAACACACCACCTGCTGCACGCACGTACCTGAAAACAAATAGAATAACTTGAGTGACTAGTGCTGCAGCACACGTCTCAGGTAGGCAGTCAATGACAAGGGAGTTTGCATTACAGAAATTCTCCAGTGGAAGACCCAGTTAGGAAAAAAAAGAAGGAATGTGGGTTCTGAAATAGCTATAGCTATTTCAATTGATAAAATATTTAGTTTGCTTAATGTTAAGAAAAAAAAAATCTGATATTTTGATGCAAAATAGGAGTACTGTAATGGTACTGCAGGGTTATATCTATGATGGTTCAATCTTTCATCAAACTTACTTACCTGAGGATAAAATATAGAAAAGGAAAGACAATTGTTCCATAAAAAAATAGAAGGGGAATCATACACCTCAAAAAGTAGAAAGGAACCATAGATAGCCAAGAAGAAGAGAGGGTGATAGCTGAACTCATTGGATAAGCCTATAGTTAAAAACCTGTTTCTTAGGTTAATTTTCCAGTTATGCCCTTTTGAAGTGATGTACGTACTCTGCCACTTTCTGGAAATAGCCCACAGGTGGTATTATTTGGCCTCCACAGCTCTGCATGGATTCAGCTATGAAGGCAGCAATCTACAAAAAACAAACTCAGGTAAGAGTTGTGTTCATCTACCGGGCCTTTGCACAAACATCTAGCAGTCTAGAAAGAAATGTTTAAATGTGTGCCTTAATTCAATCACACAATGGGCTGAGCAGCTGAGGGCTCTTGAGAACAGCTACGGCTGTAGAATTTATTCATTTGGTAACCTGGGGTGCCCAAATTTGCAGTAGCTGGGGCCACCTGTGCAACCTGATGGGAATACAAGGACCTCCGTTAAGCCTTAGTCCTACAGGTGTTGAAGTGGAAGACACTTACTGGTGTCAGTGGATGTTGGATGAGGCTCCTGAGAGCTCTGTAAATTTATTTACAAATTTCAATTTACAGGAGACACACAACAGTGTGTGCCATTTTCCCCAAGAGGTTAATGAGACTTGCTTAATGCCAAGGCTCTCCAGTAACGGGTATATGTGGTGATCAGCTTTTTCGTTCAATCTTGAACACCAGGTAGAGGTGGGTAGAAGCTGAACTGTAGGATGACCTGAGGCTACGCTTTGGGCACCCCTCTCTAAAGCAAGTAACTACACAAGTAAAATGTCAGCGTGAGGCACTTGACAAAAAGAGGAGAAAAAATTCTACAGGTGAAATAATTCCAGTTGCTAGGAATGAAAAAGAAAGTTATTTCAAGTCAGGAAGGGTAAGAGCAGTGGATCAGATACACTGGAACATCAAAAATTTTTTCTTGTCAACAGCAGAGGACTATGCAGCAGAGATACGATATTACCCCACATTCTCAGCATAAGTCTGCTATTTAAGGGATTGCATCCCCACACCACTTGTGAACCCCTCCCTGAGCATCAAGAGGTCTCTCTGGGCTGGTGCAGTCTTCCTGGAAACAAGGCCGAGCAGTAACGTGTAAAGAACCGTACACTAGATTTGAAGAGGCATGCTACGGCCAAAGAGTCAGAAGCTTCCCATAGCATGTGAGGCTTAGCCTTTAGCACAACTTGTCCTGCCACAGGTCTATGTCACCAAAACCTAAGAAATATGCAAAGAAAGGAAACAAGGGAAGAAAAAAACACAAAACTGTCCGTTAGTAGAGAATAAAAAAGTTGATGAAGAAACTAAAAGAAGAGTGATGTAAGTTCATTGGACTAGAAGGGGACATGTTGTTCCAACCTCCACTGAGGTCTTCTGTGACTTCAGTGGGCTTTGGACCAAGCCCTACATGTCTCAAAACGCTAATGCCATCATGTAAAACATTAACACACATTTTAGGTAAACCTGTTCAGAAATTATGTTTTTATCAAGGTCATATAGTATATGATTGAAAGGTTCATGTGTTCAGATGACTCCAAAGCTGTCTTGAGCTACTAGACTCAGAAACATCAAGATTTTATCTAGCATATTTTCTCCATGTCCTGGAGATTTTTATATATCCATGCTAGAATTCATGATGTAGTTTCTCAGCTGAGCTCAAAGCTTGCCCTACGATATTTACAATCTACTGATTCAATGCATAAAATATGAAACTAAACTGCTTTGGTTGTATCTGCTTATTTACAACTGTATTACTGATCCTTTCATCCATGCCTAGAAAAACTATGATAAGAGCATCAGGCAGAAAAATGGCCCATTTTGAACACAGAACCCACCATAGAGAAATGGGGAAGCAAGGGAAACTGAGTAGAGAAACATGTCCTTATTTTCCTGTTTCATGACCCCACGCCACACTTGATAGCTGAAGCCTCAGCATCTCTAGAGCACAAAACACACACCTTGCGCCCATTCTTCTGTGTTTCGTCAATAATCTTTTTCACCTCTTCAGCATAAGCACTTGCTGGATCTGGGTGGTCTTCCCTATATTTCCCCCTGTAGATATCTGGAGAAGGAGCCTGAAAAGAGCAATATATATTTTTTTAAAGCCCATCCTTCTGTGAAACATTTACTTTCTTTTTTATTGCTCTGCATTTTTGTCTTTCCACACAGATAGGTAACAGGAATGAGCACAGCCTGAATTTCTGCAGGGACTTGCAGAAATACTTAAAGGAACTTAAACTCTACCCAGCCCTGTGATGTGTTTAACATTACTGGACACAACTGTTGAAAGAGGCACCTCATCCACCTTTCAAGACTGTCCCCCCTCTCCCCCAAGACACAATACTGAGTCCTCATCCATCATCTTATTTCAGGTTCTTGCAGAAAGATCCATTTCTGCAATGGGAGAAGGGTTTTTTTTCCAGCCTGTCACTTTCCTTCCAGCGTCCTAGTCACGGTACAAATCTGTGTGACCTTCAAGCCTCTACAAATAGCGCTGGGAGAGGTTCAGTAAAGAAGGGAAAGGAAGTGATATGAAAAGGTGGATACTACTCTGGCAGTGTGGTTAACCCAAGGAGGTCTAAATAGGAAAGACCTGCTTGGTGTACGTCTCTGGGCTGAGAATGATTTTTGTCTTTGTAAGATATACAAGCTCAGGCTGCAAATCAAACAGCATCCTGCTCAGCTGGACACCCATGAGCTCTGTACCCAGATCTGTATGAACTTGTGGGCTTTGCCTTTCCAGTTTTCAGAAGCAGACTCAAAAGTCCTGCATTTCTCTAGCCAGACCAGCACACCAGATATTGGCTCATTTCTTCAAACTGTGTAACTACGCAGTGCTGTGGCTCAGGAAACTTGCAGCACTATGAAGGAAAACAGTGTCACAGCTGAATACCCTCTTAGAAATCCAAATGCAAACAATTTTGCTGTGTTTAATCTGCTGACAACCAGCCAAGTGTATGTACTTTAGCATCAGCAAAACAGAAACAATATATTTACACCAGAAGTGGGTAATTCAATATACTACATAACAGGCACAAAAAATTACAACAAGCGAAAAAAAAAAAAACAAACCACTTACCACATGCACAAACTCCTTCTTGCTGTCCTTTCCCAGCTGATTAAATTTATAGGGGCTGATGTCAATCAGAGATGTAACATGGCCATGGTAAGCACTGCATGAGTGTTAAATACTGAAGTCACTTTTCACCAAACGCATACAAGAGCTAAATTTACAACTGTGCCCATAAATAATCCAGAATAAGCAACTGTATATGCAACACAGTAGCATTGTTTGTAAAGGGATCTTGACTTCATTTACTCAGTCTTTCTCTCAAAGGAAACATGAAATTGCTGTTGACTTTAATTCACTAGCAAGACTGGAACCAAGAGTTTTTCTTGGATAAAATCAAGTGCCAGCATGGGGACAGACCCAGATGACATCCCCTGGACCACACTGACTCTGAGGCAGCCTTACCTGGCACTCAAAGGGTGGGTCCAGCTCCCTCACTTCCAGCCTGTGGGCCCCACTCTGGCCAACCCAAGCTTTGCAAGTGAGACCCCAACACCACTGCAGGCGTTGTGCATGGCTCCAGGCTGTGCATCGCATCAGCAGGTGGGGATCTTCTGCAGCAGCAGCACCCCGCTACCTGCCCTGAGGGCCCTACAGGCTAGACTGTTTGGGATAAGGATGAATATTGTTTGAATATAAAAGCTTTATATTCCAGAGTCTGCTACAGCTGGTTACTACTGAGAAAAATTCAATTCTGAAATGAGGAAACAGCCTTTTGAATGTAAAGCACATAGCAGCTTCACTGAGGGAGCAAACACTTTCATTCAGCCATAAGCTTGAAGCAAAGGGAACCTCAAACCAAATCAAAGACATGTCACAATCTCATAGTAGCACACACATAGTGTAGAGAGGATGTTTTTGCACTCATTTATCTGCTTTACACCTTTCTACTAGTCAGTCAACAAAATCTGCCAACGGCCACAGAGGAGGGACAGAAAGCCCACCCTGACTGGGGCAGCAGCTATGGCAAAAGCCTGCAGAGCCTTGGGACTGGGCAAAAAATACCTCGTGGTGTTCAGGGAGACAGGACGCTGCAGCGAAACAGTGACAGAGCCAGCTCCATCCTCAGCCTCTGCTGATGGAAGGTGGTCTCAGTGGCTCCACATCTTGGCCACGTGAATCAAGGAGCTGAGCATGGCTGAGTCAAACAAGGTTTGTGCTGTTCAGGTAGAGACAAGCGCTCTTGCAGTTGCTCTGGCTGGACTTTCTAATCACAACCTGAGAAGAAGATCCAGGCCTGCAGCAGCATCACCAGCCCTACAGCTGTATCTAGGACAGGGAAACTCAGAGCCATGGTGAGCCATCCTCCCCATGGCTTACAGCCCCCTCCTGTTCCTGGAGCCTCCTGGTTTGTGTGCGTACTTGTGCTCACTGGAAGAGGGCTGAGCATCGGCGTAGCACCATTGCAGAGCTACGGGATCTTTCTTCTTGATCACTGAATATTTATTTGTACAAAAAGAAATGTGTCCAGCAGTGTGTGACAAACCAAAAGCCCTTTTCCAGAGGATCCCAGTGGCCAGACCACTCATTGATGTTTCAAAGCAACTTTCAAGTCTCCAGCCTGAATTACTGTGGGAGCCTCTGTGGGAAGTGCCCTGCAACAGGTGATGGACCTTCTGGGGCAACCGACAAGCTTATTTTTCAGAGATCTTGAAATAGAAAAGGGATTTCCTGACCTGTTCTAGTAGGAAAGCAACAAAGCTGTTCTTTCAGCAGGCAGCGGAGTACAAACAGCGGGGGGTCGCTGCAAAGGTGTTTCTGAAGCGATGGCAGGAGTCACTGGCTGCATTCACACAAGCTACTCCATGTACTTACTTTTCAAGGGTGATGACATCTTGGTGCCCATGGTACTGACGAGCCAGTCGTAAAGCAAGATCATTTGCTTCAGACCTGGATAATAACAGATACAGCCGCAAAATAGTCAGGACCTTCCAATTAAAATTGTGTTCTAACACAGAAGAGGAGGCACAGGACTGATGGATATAAGAAATCAACACAGCAGGCTCTGTTCCTATACAGATTACAATGCTAAAGTTGAGACTGCAAATGCCACGTAAGAGGGCAAAGAAAAAACAGCTCTTTGATAAACAGCAAACAAAGAGACACTTTCTTTCCCTCCCCCAGTTTGCTTGTGGACATTTACCTCCTCTTGGTACAAATGAGACCACTTCACAGCTGAGAGCACAATGCAGCCGCAAACCCTCGAAAGCAACCAGCACGCCAGTCCCATCTCCCACCCTCCCCAACGGCTCTGTCCTGCCCAGTGCTTGGACCATCAGGCAGCAGAGAAGGTGAATCTACTCCCAGGATGAAGATCCAAATTTCCATCCTGACCCGTAGCAGCCTCTCTGCTCACAAGTCCCTGCAGGTTGTCTGTTCTGGCAATGTAAGTGATGGCAAACTAAAGGGACCACCTAAAGAAGACTACTTGTTTCCAAGGTCATATGTCATTTCACACGTAGCATTCACCAGTCTGCACATAGTCTGCTTTAATAAATTTAAGATCTAGACCAAGCTGTTCTGAGTGTCCATCTCAAACAGGAGCAAAATAGTCATAATGAAAAAAAAAAAACATTAAACGTACCCAGAGTTAACAAAATAGCAAACAGAGAGTTTCTCAGGCAGAGTGGCTGTAAGACGCTGCGCGTACTGAACAAGGTTGTCATGCAGGAACCGGGAATTTGTATTGAGCAGTTCCATCTGTTTTGTTGCAGCCTTTATCACATATGGATGACTGTGGCCAACTAAAGAAAATAATTATTTATTACTAGCAAGCAGTCAGTTACTGAACCATGCAAGGAGATTCAGAGAAGCACTGTGAACCCAGCATCATCATTTCAAAGAAGTCTGTTCTGATCCCTATTAGAAATTAAGAAATAGCAGCAGTCTTACAAGTTAAACTGCTTACCATGTGCAACATTGTTGATACAGTCTAAGTATTTTTCTCCTTTCTCATCAAACATATATTGGCCCTGAGCACGCACTATCTTCAGAGGGTCCTTGGCAAAGAAAACTTTGCAGGAAGGCCTAAAAAAAAATAATTATAAAATATCACTATTTTAGTTTTCTCAGTTGTTCCCCCTCTGAGTTTTAAGGAGGTTGATCTGCAGCCCTAGAGACAACTGCCTCCCTCTCCAAAGAGCTTGTGAGTAGATCGGATGGTGGTCAAGTGGGGCTCGCGCTGAAATTAAAAACAGCCCCTGTACACCTCCCCAGGCACAGCGAGGACAGAAGCAGCTCTTTAGTAAGGGTGTTTTCAAAGCACGACTCTGCCTGCAAGGACTTTCACAGGAGCACAGTGACTGCAAGTCATTCCAGGGCCTTATATGTCCCGCTGTGTTTCTGGGCTGTAGCTTTGTTTACATGCCTTACAAATATGTATGGCCAATTAACTCGCTGGGAATAAAACAAAGGCATTAAGAATTGTTTTAGACTACAGCCAAAAATTCATTACACAATGGATGACTGTACCGTATAGAGGTCACATTCAAGAACAAACCAGCAATGCCTTGCTGGCCTTATTTTCAGAGCTGCTGAGCAGGTCCTAAAAATCTCAGCATCTCATCCTTACTGCTTTGGATGAAATCTTTAAAAGAGTCTTTTTATAAGCACCTAAATCACACCAGCAAAACTCACTCCTTGTAAAATTATCCAAAGTATTCTCTAAACACCCTTTTTTTTTTTTTTTTTTCCTCTCGGAGAATATGCCAGCTATGTAATCATGTTGAATGATATTACTGAGCAGAAGGAAAGTCTTCTGAACTGCAGTAATGTCTATATGGCTGCAGATAAACACAGTTGTTTCCAGGTAACTCAAGAGATTGCTGCTAATGCATCCCTGCTGCTGGGTGTATTGAGATTATGGCCCTGTGAAGCCCAAATGCGACTCCTAGAAAGTGAAATCATTTACTTTCACACACTTTCTAGCCCCATTGCATTGATCCTTTCTGACCTCTTTGCTACTCCTCTGGCACACTTTCAAAGCAGTGCTCATCATCATTATCACTGCCCATCTATTGACTGCAGTTTTTTTCTTCTATTAGGTGTCAGTCCTTTCCGTGAAAGTTTCTTCTTGTTCACTCAATGCAGCCCAATCCTATAATCCTTGCACAGGCGAGAGTCCCTTACAATTGAGCTGGCCCCTTAAGAGAAGTTGTTGTGCACGCTTTATGAGGCCATGACTTTTATGCACCTTTAGTGAGCCTTCTATATATTCCACACACTTAGGATGCAGTCAGAAAATAGCCAGTGCTGGTTTTAACTGTCTGGACTTACTTGTCACTTGGCAACACCTACTGAAGACGGAGGAACTAACAGAATATTGCAACACAGTGCGATCAGAGATGTGCACAGCCAGGACTATTGCTCAGGTCACAGCTGCCGGCAGCATCCCTGCATGTCCCCCAGTGAGACTCAGCTTAAGAAACCTCCTCAGCTCCATTTAACAGAGACGTCTGCTTATCCACCAAACCCACCCCAGCCCTGCACAGCCGCGTGTGACACACACCCGGGTACCACATTCTGCATCCTCCGAGCTGCTGAAGGAGTGCAGAAGCGTTGGCTGCGCCCTGTTCTAATGCCGCACCCCCCGCCCGCCGGGGGACTTCCAAGTGGGGACCGGGGGGGCTGCGCAGCCCCGACGCCCTGCTCGACCCCCGGCTCGGGCCGGGCGCTGCCACCGGAGACCTTCCT